TTGACTCAATGATAAATTGTATTTACTGACATGGTCATTGTATCGATCATAGAACTTACAAAATGATAACTTTAAACGAATAATAATTAGTATGAAAAACGTCCCTCAGCATTTGACTCAATGATAAATTGTATTTACTGACATGGTCATTGTATCGACCATAGAACTTACAAAATGATGCCTTTAAACGAGACTGCTTAGATGCTTGTTTCATCAACTTGCTTTCCAATAATTTACCTTGTTTTAGATATTGTTCATACGTAGCTCTAGTATGCACTTGCGTAACGAATCAACTGAGATATATACACTCCGTATGCAGGTGATGAGGGTGTATTGCTGCATCAGGAAGGGAAGTTGATGATAGAAAAGTTATCACGTTTATCATATAGCTTGGTTGTTAGATTACCATTAACGTCTTTTTCAAGTAAAAGGAATGGAAAATACCATAATTGTTAATTGACAATACGTCGTCAACATACAGTAAAATTTAGTCCTATGCACTTCTTTACCAAACTCGTTTAAAAAAAGTCTATGTCGTCCGGATACTGTCTATTCTGTATTCTGAACGGCCATACTGGTCCAAACTGCTCATAATTTACGGTAATTATTCCCTCTAATCCGGTCACACCTGAGTTACTTCAAAGCAATTAACACCTTTCGTGGGGAATGTGATAATCCGTGTTTACATTAGCATGATAAGTGCCATGAGACGAACTCTGTGAAATGCGACACAGCCCACATGAAAAAAATATGATATGATTAAATTACAAATAACAATTTAAAAAAAAATAACTTTGTTTTAACTCCTTTTACCACATTATAACATAAACTCAAAAATATATGTACGCGATTTACAAATCAAAATATAAATTGGGATCGAAAATCGAACGCATTTCAAAATGGCGCCATAACACTGTGGGGGAAGACGTAATTTTTAAAATAAAAATTAAAAGTTCAATCTAATAATTAGCACATCGTAAATAATTGTGCATTACTGTTTATACCTCGGTGCATTGAATGAGGTCTTTGACAAGCGAAACCCGGTCCGCTTGATACATAGTATGCCTATATTATGCGTGCTTGTATATTTTGACATTTCACTCGACTTTCAAACTTCGTGAACAAATAAGAAAATACAGTAAGTCATGTGAGACTATCTTATAGTTTCTTGACTCCAAAATAGTAATTGATCTCATCATTTAATTTTATTTATAATATGTGTATCATGTACTTGTAAATAAACAACGAAGATTTTCGAAATTTATATTTTCCTGCATTTCTACTGCACTCCGGATTCTGTCTAATCCGGCCAAATTTTATGGAACCGGCGGTAGCCGCTTTGGACATTTTATAATGTATCTTAATGTCGAGTTGAAGGCCACAGCAAGTGTTTTCTTCTTTTCATGCATTAGATTTTGCACGAATTCTGCTTCATGTGAACATAAAATAGGTCCGCTAATAACCGTTGGTACCCATGGGAATTCCAATAGATTGTTGGAATACCTGGTCTCCGAAAACCACATAGATATTGTCTATAAACTTCAGTATATCTTTGATGTCAACTTTAGAGACTTGTGTGAGCGATCAGAATGAAGTTTCGGAATCCAATATACCGGTATACATGTATAGGGTAGTTTAAATTCCATTTTGCTCTCCGGAATATTAAAAATATTTAAAACTGACATTTGATTTTGAAGAATTCCTTCCTTAAAAAGGGAAGTATGGGTATATGTAGGATTACCACTTGTAGGATTAGATCCAATTACTTCTGAAATACAATTTATAATGAGCCTTACAAACAAAGACATGGTTGTTACCTGCTTTGTCGGCAGGGACCAGTACGTACTGATCATGTAATCGATCAAACTCTTTTTCACTTCTGGATTATTGAACACAGAAAGATAGATGGTTTTCATATTGTCACTCAATCTTTTACTACGCGACTTTAACATGGATCTAATACATTTAATCCATTCTGACAAGGTGTCAACGTCTTCTTTGCCATATCTGTTCCATCGTATGGCATATTTTTCAACAGAATCCAAAATATTTATGAAATTAAGAGGCCAGTTGAAGGATCGGGGTTCCCTTTATTTAGGACCTTTTAAAATATGTGTTCTAAGGTCCTCATTATTAACTATATTTATGTCACCTGTAATAACGTGTCCAGAAGGACTATAGTTTTTGGGCAAAGAATAACATGAGCACGATGGAGGATTATGTTTCGGATACTCGGTATCAAGATCACGTAAAGTTTTCTTGTAATTGAAAAGTTTGGAAGTTTTGAATGATCGATGTATATTTGTAGGAAATACAAGGTGAAGTCTTTAACTTGAAATATGGTGGAATACAAAACTGGACCCTTTTATGATTAAGAATATTACTTATATTAACCGCGTCAATTCCTTTATTGGCAAATTGAAGTTTAAGGAAAAGACGGGTTGTTTTAGCTGAATTTCTTCCGTAAACGAGCGGGTTTAAAAAGCATATGATATGTTATATATACCATTAAATGAATATATAAAATATAATGTAATTAATATTGATTGACAACAAATGCAATATAAACACTGCATATACTGTCCAGTTTTATTCACAAAATTTTATGGCCAATAAAAGGAAGAGGACAAAATGGGTTTTGAAAAATGTTATTGTTTTTAATTTCCTTTAAATGACGCCCAATTGATAATCATTTTCTTTTGTAATAACAAGGTTTTCGTTGAAAATATACCTCTTTAGATAAATTGAATATTTATATTTAGGTGTAGTAACAATATCTTAAGACTGGATTTGATAATTGTAGTTTTGAAATGAGGGTACATAGTTTATTTGACCGTGTTCTACGTTTACCAAGGAAAGAAACAGTCTTAGCCTTCTGTTTATGGGCAAATCACAGGCCAACAATAGTACAACATTGATACAGAGATGTCGTCAACAATAGCCCAACCATTGATACAGAGATGTCGTCAATAAGGTTGGCCGTCTGAGATTGTTATTTTGGAAATATTAAGCGGAGGATTCCATTTTGTTCTTATCGGCAGTACACCGGATAATACAGAGGAATGTAGAATTTTTAGTTTCACAATCAGAAGAAAAATTCGTTTTTTCAATGAATCACTGTCAATTTATTTGTTATGGTATCTTCATTTTTTTTCTAAAGGAGGTTATTAATTTTCAAAATAATTCACCAACTCTATATTCATATTTGATGAAAAAAAATTCTTTTTTGGGTAATGCAGAATGATAATTGCTTGCCATGGACACCTCATAACTTGCTGATATGTCCTGGGAATACTTTAGATTATTAATATGCTGGTACGTATTGCAAAATGTCCCAACTTTAGGTTGAAAGTTATCGGGTCTGTACAAACACCATTATGCAGTCAGCTGTATGATTTGTATTGTAAGGGAATATCATGTCTTCTATTTAGTCCGACTCTGAGATCTTACCTCAGTCACGCCATTTTATACAGATCATTGAGAGTCTATACTGAAGAGAGCAGTTTTATATCTAGAACTGAATTAGATACCAGCTTGTTTAAAAAATGAAAGACATGCATAGATATCAGCTTTTATAAAAGAGAGTTATGTTCAGACATTGATTTTAATTTTCGTTGTTTTGATGAATTTCGAGTTTACATGGACCATCTAAGGACAATTATTACTAGACGGTTGAAAGATACAAATTTTGACATGAACTCATTTACGGAACCTTGCCTTCATGAATCAGAGCAGAATTTATCCAAATAGATATCGTAATAAGATTCAATACAAAACAATTTAACACGCAAGATCTAGACACGAATGGAAAAAATAGTTAAACATGAAATCTTAGAATTGCTGTTTACACTGTTTTAATTTCATGGGAAATTAATATAACGATACCGTTGATTCTTGTGAGAGTAAATTGTTTTCTTTTTTTTTTTTGTAGTGTAATGCAACTTATAAGTCATTTCCTTGATTGACCCATTACATGTCGGAATATAAAATACAATTATAAAAAAAAAACGATCAGATGAAAACTATTTTAAGTATTTGAAATGTGCTCGTAGTAGAATGGTTAGAGGGTACAGTTATAAAGCATAAATATAGTCTATTTCAATGTTCTATTAAGTATTACAAATGCGTTGGTTAATGTATAAGTCATCATATATTTCTTTAAAATACTAAGGAAATATATTAAAAATGTAAGTTTTCATCCTTGGCATCTCTGGAAATTGAAATGATATTTTTACATGTTTTTCCAAATCCTTAATTAAATTAAGAGGGTTGGGGTCTATCTTTTAATAGAAGAATATCTGTGTAATTTATTGTTTTAAATATATTTTATCGGCAGCATGTCAAAGGGACACAAGTTCAAAAAATCTTACAAAGCCCTCCTCCATTTTGTTGTTACAAGTACACTTATATAATAGTACAGTGTATACTTAGACAACACCTTTCTGCCACACATAGAAGTTAACAAAGAGAATAATTCATTGCTGCAATATTAGAGTATGATTGACAGGCAGTTACTTTTCAAATAAGTTCACTTGAGAAATAATAATCAATATTTGTATTTGAATGATTCAAAAGTTAAAGTTAAAACTACAAAATGAATTATGAAATATGTCATACGAAAATATTTTTTTAAATACTTACAATTCAGAATATGTACCACTAGACACCAAAATTCTGATGCAAGAATGAAACAGCATAAAATACTTTTATAAAATATATGGGTACATTAAATAACTATGGCTCAGAACTGGTCAAAACACATTGGATATTTCAAACCAGGACTGTTTTATTGCAATTTCTGAAAAGAAGACTGGAATGGAAACTATTTGTTATCAAAAGCTAAGCAAGACCTACTCGATTGCATATATATGCGATGTATCTGTTATAAATTGCGGGTGTGAATTTCTCGTCAATATAGACTCTTTTGAATATGTATCAATAAACTTCAATAAGAGGACGTTATCAATAGGCTAATTGATATAATTAATTTATTTTATCAGAATAGAATTTTAAAAGATAAACCATAATCATAGGTAAATGGTTTTTTTTTCAAAAGAAATAAGGTAAAGAAATATATGCGGTATTTTACATATCTTTGCCCCCACAAATGTCAAATTTTGAAATTATTGAAATATGCTGAATTCTATACCGGGGTTAATTGTAGGAGAAATATAAATTAACAAAACATATTACAGTTTCAAAGTAGTACATTAACAATTTTTGTTTTTATGATGTCACAAACTAGTCCAATTTTTTATCGTTTTTAAGAAAGAGGACAAAATTGAAAAACGTTCAACAATTTTAGCTTTGAAATTTATAGAGCGCAAGTTTGCTGAGGACCAATATTTACATAATTCATTGATATTATCATTTTACAAATTATATCAAAATATTGAGCCTGATCAAACCTGTGCGCTGTGACTTTTACTCAAAATATCGATGTAATATATACATTTTTTTTCTGTAGAAATCATAGAAATTTTAAATTTACGTCATTTTCGTGACGTCATTTCAAACATATGACGTCATTGTTTATGAAAATATTCAGTGATTTGAATTTAGCATGTATCCTCCTGTTTCAGAACATAATAAAATATTTCTCTGTTTGATTTTGGGGGCAAATATAGGTTACTACTGAATAAGGTTCTTTAGACCGAAAGTAGAAATCTCAAAAATATAAGTCAGTAAAGAAAATGTCATTCCCAAATTATTTTTAGACACAGTTTGCTGTTGTGTGACATATGCTGTAAATCTTATCTAAATATAATAAGATTTTTCACAAATAAAAGAATTAAGATAGGAACATGGTCTGTCATTCCACTTGGCAGTTTTTAGCAGATCAATACAGTCTCTGGTGTAAGCTTGTGTTGGATCATTGATGCTTGGTTCGTTGTAATACCAATACGTAAAGGTCATGGTTACATTGGAGTTATTCCAGCGGTATTGACCTTCAACTTCAAGGTCATTTCCGCCCGTCCAGGCAGTACAGTCAGCAAATATGTCGGTAGGACAAGTGTCTACAATGATCATGTAATTACATGGAGTATATTTAATAAAACACGGTTAAAGTGACACACGTTACTAATGAATTGGCAATTACAGCGGAGTGATGTCACTCCCTGTGACTTTATATATACATGTATATTGTAAATTTGAATGATAAAACGTATAACAATATATGCTAAGAACGAAGCAACATTGTCCCTCCATGGTACTTAGTTGTTATCGTCCTCCGCTGTTCATGTAAATAAGTCTATAGAAATTGCATTATTACTTTAAAAAATTAAAACTGAGACCACGTAACTAAGACAAGCATCAAAATACAATATAACCATATATTGGTACTTTACATGATAGCTGATCGATCCTCTAAATTTATATTAAAATGTCATGGAATAGAATTATCTTAAGAGGGCTGGAAAGTTGAGGCCATTTTCAGACCATTTTGGTCTTTAGATGAAGGGCTTCATAAAAAGACATACAATAATATTTAAATAATAAAATCTATTTTGCCTAAAAAGTGCCGCTAAAGAGCCACTATCCTGTCAGTAAAATAATTATTCCAGACATTTGCATGAAACATTACCGGATATTTGGATGTCCATCTAGACAAATATTATGATAAGAAATATCCAGGTCATTGTTGTTCTGTTGCATTATTTTGTCATGAATGACATGGGAAAGGGCGATAGGAAGACATGTATGGCCGACTGTCTTCGAAAAGGAAAATAATCGATGAAAATTGTGTGAATTTGAAAAAATGATACGCTTCACTTTAGATTTATTTATTTATTGTTAACCAACTTTTATTCGCGTGCGAGAAATATCCGAGAGTTTCTTTAACTCGCGATTATTAATCGCGGTGAAACATTCATTTTGCAGAATTAATTCTTGCAGATTAATTTTAAACTGACTAATCGGGAATAAAATATGACGCGAATAATAATTCGTTTACAGTATTGCGATTAAATAGAAGAAAAATACCTGAATTGTTTTTATTATTCTACAATATTATTTTGCAAGTTTTAAATGTATACAGGAGAATTAATGTAATTCATTCATGCAGAAATCTATGCGTAGTTCCGCAAAAATAAATAAAATTCATTAGTAATCTACAAAACCACTTACTTTCTCGAAGAAACGCCTTAGCGAGCCAGTTTGATTCCTCCATGTTGTCAATGACAACGAGATGAGAGCACATGTCCTCACATTCCGCCTTGTGAAAAAAAAGTATTTTGTCAAATTCGCTGATGTTTAAAAGCTTTAAACAACATAGTTTAAAGTCAGCATTTACTAACTTCTCGGATTCTTAACGTGTTTTAGTTTTGGCAATATGTTTTATCATTAAGGTGTATTTCGACTAAACTATTATCATATTTAATCAATTTTCAGGCCTATTTATGTGGGCCTCTAATAAGCCTAGCTGAACCTACTTTCGTTATATTAACCTACTTTCGTTACATTAACCTTCTTTCGTTATATTAACCTAATTTCGTTATAATAACCTTCTTTCGTTATATTAACCTAATTTCGTTATATTAACATTCTTTCGTTATATTAATCTACTTTCGTTATATTAACCTACTTTCGTTATTATAACCTTCTTTCGTTATTATAACCTTCTTTCGTTATTATAACCTTCTTTCGTTATTATAACCTTCTTTCGTTATATTACTGGTTTTGTGTTTTGCTCCCCTTTACGGAATTCTAACTTTATCTTATTTTATCAATCACTTTGTATTATCTCCACATATTTCAGTATTAAAGAATCAACTGGATTCAAATTAAATTTGATTCAAGGAAGGATATGGAGATAACGAACAGTATTCAATCTCAACGTCCATCAAACAATATACAAAATGAGAGCAGAGCAAACACGGACCTCCGAAACATCAGAGGTGGGATCAGGTGCCATGGAGGAGTGAGCATCCCCTGCCGACCGGTCACACCCGCCGTGTGCTCCTTGTCATGATCAGGAAATAACGGAAAAAATCCGTCGTCAATTCAGTGTATAAATAATGGACTAACAATTAGTATGAAAAACGTCAGTCAGCATTTGACTCAATGATAAATTGTATTTGCTGACAAGGTTATTGTATCGACCATAGAATTTACGAAATGATGACTTTAAACGATTGTTTCATCAACTTGCTTGTCAATGATTTACCTCGTTTAAGAAATTGTTCATACGTAGAGCACGCTCTTACGTATCGAATCAACTGAGATATATATACTCCGTATGCAGGTGATGAAGATACATTGTATATTGCTGCATAAGTAAGGGAAGTTGACGATAGAAAAGTTAAAGTCATCACGTTTATCATATAGCTTGGTTTTTAGATTACCATTAGTGTCTTTTTCAAGTAAAATATGCAAGTATGAAGCAGAAGTGTCGGACTCTGTGGTTTCTCTTATCTCAAACTCACCAGGATATATCGTATCGACGTAGGAATGGAAATTATCATTATTAATTGACAATACGTCGTCGATATATCGAGTTGAAGGCCACAGCAAGTGTTTTCTTCTTTTCACGCATAAGATATTCCATAAATTCTCCTTCATATGAATATAAAAATAAGTCTGCTAATAACGGAGCGCAATTTGTACCCATGGATATTCCAAAAGATAGTTGGAATAACGGTCTCCAAAAACCACATAGATATTGTCATTCAGAAACTCAAGAATCTTCTTGATGTCAACTTCAGAGTACTTATGTGTGCAATCAGAATCTGTTTTAACAAAATTATTTTTCAAATGACCAATGACGAGATAAGTTAATTTATAAGTTCCATTTCTGCTGAAGAAGCAGCTGTCAATGATATCAAAAAGCCTGGATTTAAATTTGTCGTGGGGAATCGTTGTGTATAAAGTTGAAAAGTCTTAAGTTTTTAAGCTGTTGATTTTTGTAAAGTCGTGTGATTTCAAATTGTCCAAAAGTTCTTTAGAATTTTTAAGTATCCACATATGATTTACACCACTTCTTGAATATATAGTTGCACAGTACTCTTGAAGTTTTTCCTTCAATACTGTCAATATTTTAGTGAGAAGTAACGAAAGAGGCTTGGTTGAACATTTACTGGAACCTGCAATGTATCTTTGTTTGTAAGGATTCTTATGAAGTTTCGGAATCCTATATATATAAGGTAGTTCAAATTCATTTTGGCTCTGTGGAATATTAAAAGAATTCAAAGCTGACAGGTGATTTTGAAGAATTTCTTCCTTAGAAAGAGAAGTATGAGTATAAGTAGGATTACCACTTGTAGAATTAAATCCAAGTTCTTCTAGAATGCAATTTATATAATGAGCCTTACAAACGAAGACAATGTTGTTACCTGCTTTGTCGGCAGGAACCAGTAGGTACTGATCGTGTAGTCTATCTAATTCTTTTTCACTTCTGGTTTATTGAACACAGAAGGATACATGGTTTTCATTTTGCCCCTCAATCTTTTGATAAGTGACTTTAACATGGATCTGATACATTTAATCCATTCTGACAAGGTGTCAACGTCTTTTTTGTCAAATCTGGCCCATCGTCTGGCGTAATTTTCAACAGAATCCATAACATTTATGAAATTCCGACGCCAGTTGAAGGATCGGGGTTCCCGATATTTATGACCTTTAAAATAAGTGATCTAAGGTCCTCATTACGAACTATATTTACGTCACCTGTAATCACGTGTCCAGCAGGACTATAGTTATAGGGCGAAGAAGAACATGAACACGAAGGGGGGTTATTTTTCAGTTAGTCGATATACAGGCCATCTAAAGTGTTTTTGTAATTGAAAAGTTTGGAAACAATGGTCCATGTGCATTTGTAGGAAATACATGGTGTAGTCTTTAACTTGAAATAAGTGGAATACAAAGCTGGACCCTTTTGTGATTAAGAATATTACTTAAAATGACCGCGTCAATTCCGTTATTTGCATATTGAAGTTTAAGGAAAAGACGGATTGTTTTAGCTGCATTTTCTTCCGTGAAACGTGCGGGTTTAAAAAGCCAATGATAGGCAATATCCATAATCACAGATCCGAGCCTATATTCAGGTGACGAGGAATCTAAAATTGGATGTTCCTTGGCCTTTTCAAGAAGACAATTTAAAAGTTTCAAAGGGACAGAGTAAAGTTTTGTTCGCATATGATGTAGACCTAACTGTTGATTTACATAAGGTAGTAATGAATCAAAAGAGACGTCGTGTATTGCGGGTTTATTGTACGAACGATGTCCATGACTACGCTTAGGTCTCTGAGTATTGTTAAGAGTCCCATCACATTTACATTATTACACTGCGGGCTTGAAAGATTTCCAACACTGTCGACATTGTCATTACATCCATAGGGAAAGGATGTCCCTAGTTTCCTAATCCAAACTTTTTTCGTTGTCTACGAAAAGGTGTACTCAACGATGGACTATTTGTGTGATGATAAATCTTTTTGAGAATTCTAACTTTCATTGATAAAATAGAATGATCAGGTGAATTAAAAAATTAAAATGTTTATATAAAAGCTGCTGACCACCATGATTTATTTGAAATCGATAACCTGATATTCTTTTGTTAAGCGATCCCTTGGTTTCACCGACATAAATAAGTCCACACAGATTACATTCTATTCCATAGAGAACATTAGAAGATTTGCAGTTCAGATTTTCACAAGTTTTGGTATAGAAGATCTGTCCAGTAAGATTACTGGTGAAAGAAGTGTCAGTTATCAAAATGTCACAGGTTTTACAGTTTCGCACAGAACATTTTGAAATAACTTCCTTTGCTTTGAGAATAACGACGTTTACAGTATATAACTTACCTTTGCTTCCGCCCACGTGACCTTCGTCTGACCTTTCAAGTAACAATGGTTGTTGTACTCAGTCCATGGGGGCATACAACCTGTTATTAATATTTGAACTACATGCATTACATAAATCACTTCACATCAATCAGTAAAAAAAGTGATGATTTTATTATAAATATTCTTAACCTGTAAATTGTCTCTCGTATTTGGTATAGCTTTTGAGCAAATATTTTAAACTGTCTGTTATTTGAATATAGATAACATTGGCAATTTCGCCACATATGATTCACATTTGCATTACTTTTTATATGAGGATCGTATATGTAGCATATGTGAATCAAATGCTTTTCTTCATATGATTCACATATGCCCAAACAAAAAAAACTAAAGTGAGCAAAGTAAAACTATAGGTAACTTTAGTTTACTATAGTAAATCAAAGTTCCAAAGTAATCACCATAGAAAATCAAAGTTGCAGTTTTCACTATAATAAATCAAAGTTCTAAAGTTTTTACTATTGTAAATCAAAATTTCAAATTTTGTAATAAAGTAAATTTAAGTTCCAAAGTTTGAACTTTGGTACTATAGTTAACAATAGTATTGTAACGTGTTCTGGGTCCGATGATTTGGACCAGTCCAGGAGATGTATGAAAATTATCAGATTTACAAAGAAAAATAATTACAAAGATTAATATGAAAACAACGAGTCAATATATACATATATTTCTAGGGTTATCTATCCCTTTATTGTAAAAGCAAAGCAAAAACAAAGAACAATGATCGAGGTGTTTGACAGGGCTCTGTCCGAGGTATGTATCTCAGGGATCTGTCTCCCCAGCCGTGTAACTAAACGGATGTATCCCTTTATATTACACAGGCTGCAGCCAGGTACAAGAGGTAAATAAATATATACAGTAAATATCACTGTATATAAGCAAGGAAACACAATACAACACTGGGCAGTTGTATTAATCAACAATGAAACGTCTTTTAAATTACAATCCCGTACCTGCTACTTTGCCACCTTCTTCTCTGACAGTTGAACGCAGAATGACAAACTACCTCGGATGCGCTTTTATATATACTTGAGCGACACCCGGACTAACCTCGGCCTTAACCATATGCCTAATGATAAAACCCGACTTTAACTGAATCTCGAGCCCGATCGTCACACTACCCACGCCTCGATGCATCATGTGTCCCCACATGACAAATAAAATACAACTAAAACTTTTCTTTTTCCATTTTTTTTATATACAGATGTGTGACCAAACAAGAATGAGGTATGTATGATGAGTGATGAGTTTTTATCACCTGCCTGGTGATTATGTATCAATAAGCAAACATGAAAATTAGCAAACATGAAAATTAGCAAACATGAAATTGAACTTAATGTTCATAAATGTTCTCTGATGACTTCTCACCATTTACATATCAAAAATTTCTTCGCTTTCTCTGATGCGCTTGATTCTCTGTCCATTTTCACTGTACTTAGTTACAGTCACCTCTTTCACCCGTCTCTGATATCCCTCTGTCTGAGTTCCCTGATCCACCAATTGAACTTTCCTTTCTTCTGGGTCAGGTAAAGTAAAAGTCGTCTGGACAGCTCTATCAACACCCTTCTTCTGTACCAATTCCTCCTCTGGAATGATAACTTTCCTGGTCGTTTGGACAGGACTTGGAGCTGTTCTCTTGCGGATAATTCGACCTGCGATTAAATCATCACTATTGGAAGAAGATGGTCCAGCCTCCGTTTCCTTCTCGATTTCGATCGCATCTTCCCCAAGCTGAACTTCTGGATCCACATCCCAGTCACTATCCTCATTGTCGGCTACATCCTTTGATGATTGGGAAGGTGCATCGGGATGTTTGGTCCGCATATGCTTCTGCAAGTACTCCTTTTTCTTGAAGGACACTTGGCATGTTCTACATACTAACATGCTACTGGCACAACTAACCACATGTTTTGTCCAAGCTTCTTTACTGTCCAATTCTACAAAACATACTGGGCATATCTCTTTTGCCTTTCTGGGTGTTAGCTTGGTGTTTACCATCTTTATTCTGCAAAAATGAAATATTGAATTTTAGATCAGCGCATACATGATTTTCTCCATATATATCACTACTCTAACATTAAACAACTACAAGTACTATGCAGGTACTTGTAACTACTATACAAAATATTAAATTTGAGGCTCATCAGTAAATCAAACAGTTATATACATATGATTCGTAATGCTTTATTGTACAAATCATTCAGGGACATAGTCCTTCATCCACGCTGGAGCACGTCTATCTCGCTTTGGCTTAACGTTTTCAGCCAATTCATCTGTGACTTCTATCTTTGACTGACTGTCATCGATAACCTCAGTCTCAAACTGATCATCTGGCAGTTCTGTATTGACAGCTGTATCGGTATCCTGACAAAGCTGTCCGTCTTCATCTCTCAGAACCTGTGATTTGCAAGCTTTGAGGCGATCACAATGTACAACTTGCTCTTTCCCGTTGCGACCACAGTTAGCTTTGTACAGAACTTCTGATATTCTTGCCAGTATCTTGAATGGTCCTCGCCAGTAAGACGTGAACTTTGGTGAGCATCCAGCTTTGCGTTGAGGGAAGTATATGTAAACTAGATCCCCTTCTTTGAATTTCTCATATGACATTTTCATGTCATAGTAATGTTTCTGTCGTAACATTGCACCTTCTGCATGACGTCGGACCAAAGAATGTGCTCTCTCCATCCGGTCTTTCAAGATCCAGGCCCATTCATTCCTGGGAACTTCTTTCCAAGACGTTGGCATCTCATACAGAATATCTAGGGGTGTTGTCACCTCCCTGCCTAGCATGAGCATGTTAGGGCTGTAGCCCGTGGATTCATGCTGAGATGACCTATACGCCATCATCACGCATGGAATGCTTTCATCCCAGTCCCGGTGGTTTTCATCCACATAGGCACTTAGCATAGTGGCTAATGTTTTGTTGAAACGTTCCACCATACCATCAGACTGCGGATGGTATGGTGTGGTTCGTGTCTTCCGGATCTGGAGAAGTCCACATACCTCGGTAAAAAGGAGACTCTCGTACTGTCTTCCCTGGTCGGAATGTATGACATTCGGGCATCCAAATCTACAGATTACTTCGTTGGTGATGATCTTAGCTACCGTTTTAGCTTCCATATTCTGCATTGGAAATGCCTCGGTCCATTTGGTGAAGTAATCCGAGATGACTAAGATGTATCTGTTTCCGTTTTCTGTCACAGGAAACTCCCCTAGGATATCCGTAGCTATCCTTTCAAATGGAAATCCAACTTGTAGAGGCTGCATAGGGGCTCTTTTCGTTTTCTGAGGAGCTTTCCTTCTGGAACATATGTCGCAACCTGATACGTAGCTTCTCACATCACTCTGTAGACCTGGCCAATAATAGCTTTGCCTTATCTTATTCAGTGTCTTTGTCACCCCTAAGTGAGCTGAAGTCTTTACATCGTGCATCTGCTCTAAAATCAGTCTTCTGTGGGATAGAGGAACCACTATCTGATATGTGGTCATATCACTATCTTCAATCTCCCACATCCTACACAGCATATTATCTTTTACTGTGAGTCTACTCCACTGAGCCCAAAGTGATTTCACAAAATATCCTTCTGGGGATATATCACTAAACCCAGGACGTTTTTCGTTTTGCAACCAAGACTTGACAAGTCTTATATCCTTACATTTCTCCTGTATAGTAACCCAGTCAGATACTTCATTATTTGCTTGAGCTTCGTTTTCTACCACTCTTGCATGTTCTGTAGACATATCTATCTTGTCCCAGCCATCAAAATATCCACACTGGCTACAAGGTACTCTACTGAGTCCATCTGCATTTCCGTGGAGTTTCCCAGCCCGGTGCTCTATCTCCATGTCATAAGTTGATATGACCTCGAGCCAACGAGCCAACTGGCCCTCTGGATCTTTAAATCGGAGTAACCATTTTAGCGAACTGTGATCAGTCCTGACCAAGAACTTATGTCCATACAAGAATGGTCGAAAATGCTTAATGAATGTAACCACAGCCAGAAGCTCTTTACGGGTTACGCAATATTTTCTTTCTGTCTTGCTGAGAACCTTGCTTGCATATGCCACGACCCTCTCTTGGCCATTTTGAATCTGTGATAGAGCGGCGCCCATGGCATACTGACTTGCGTTCGTGTCTAGTATAAAAGGTTTTGTAAAGTCTGGATGCGTTAGAATCGGTGCAGAAGTCAACCGACTCTTAAGAAAATCAAACGCACTCTGACACTCTTCACTCCATTTAAATGGAACATTTGCCTCCGTGAGTTTATGTAAAGGTTGAGCAATTTGAGCGTAATTGGCTATAAACTTCCTATAGTAGCTAGAAAGACCAATAAATGATCTGACTTGTGTCTTGCTCACTGGTACAGGCCAATGCTTTACAATCTCAATCTTTTCAGGATCAGTCTGAATCCCTTGTTCAGAGATTATATGTCCCAAGTACTTAACCTTTTGAGCAAACAAAGTACACTTCCTAGCTTTCAGCTTCAGTCCAGCTGCCAGAAGCTTCTCAAAGACCAGCTCTAGGTTTTTCAGCATTTCGTCAAATGTCTTTCCGTATACGATGACATCGTCTAGGTATATAAGACATATCTGCCATTGTAAGCCAGCCAGCACAGACTCCATCAAGCGTTCGAACGTAGCTGGGGCATTACAAAGCCCGAATGGCATGACATTAAACTCGTACAGACCTTGACGAGTAACGAATGCTGTCTTAGCCTTATCCTGTGGCTCTAGCTCAACTTGCCAGTAACCAGCATTTAAGTCCAACGTACTAAACCACTTGGCACCACGCAGCTGGTTTAGAGACTCGTCAATGCGAGGTAATGGGTATGCGTCTTTTGTTGTAACACTGTTTAAGCGCCTGTAGTCTACACAAAATCTTGTAGACCCATCTTTCTTCTTCACTAGTACAATTGATGAAGACCACGGGCTTTGTGATGGTTCTATAATGCCTCTTCGTAACATGTCAGATACATGTTCTTTGACCTCCTCTTGCATGTGAAATGGGAGACGCTTAGGAGCCTGCTTAATAGGTGCATTT